GATTTTGATGTGAGAGACAACAGGAGATGCACTTTTTCACTGGAGGAAGTGTTATTATGGATTATGGACTATTATGGATTATGTATTTTATTGTGATTGTGTTAAAAAGTGGCATCGCATTGTCATCACATCTGTTTGTTTTTATCTTGCACATGAATGTTTTTTATCTCAAAGGGTTTTTAATATGAATATCATCTGACTCATATCTCTGAAAGATCCAGCAGAAGCTGTAAAATGAGTTTGAGAAAGTCCGATTCAGAACGGCTTCCTATAAAGAGAAAGAATAATATGATGCAGAAGAGCAAAACCTAAATGAGTGATTTCAGTCTCCACAGCGATTGTGGCATTTCTCTCGTGTGATCCAGTCACCGCTCTGGTGTTCATCAGTTTCAGCAGCGAGGGAAACGAATGTGAACAGAATTAGATTTGCAGAACAGTGAACTCCAGCTCCCTGATCAGATGCGATAACTGTGATCTGATGAGGGTTTCACACATGCGTGTCTGTCTCCTCTCGTCCCACAGGAGAGCTGTATATCGGTGGAGTAGCCAAGAGCATGTACAGCAGCCTGCCGAAGCTGATCGCGTCCCGGGACGGATACCAGGGCTGCCTGGCCTCCGTGGATCTGAACGGCCGGCTGCCGGACCTGCTCGCAGACGCCCTCCACAGGGTCGGCCAGGTGGATCGAGGATGCGACGGTCAGTCACAGCTACACATGAACATTGTGTGTGTGTTCACATCACATACATCAGCACGCTTACCTCAGCAGCTTTGTATGGAAGCTTGTTTCCACCACAGGATAAAAAAATTTATAATAAATTTAGCTGCAACGTTTTATCTCACAATTCTGACTTTTTCTTAGTTTATACCTCACAAATCAGTTTTTTCCCCCCTCATTTCTGAGATCTAGAACTCGGAATTGTAAGATATAAACAAAGAATTGCAAGATATAATGCAAGTTTGCAAGATATCAATTGTAATTCTATGGAACAAGTCAGAAAAGTCTAAGAAAATGTAAGAAACTTGCGATTGTGAGAAAAAAGAGAATTGTAACAAAAAGTAGACACAGGGTCGGCCAGGTGGATCGAGGATGCGACGGTCAGTCACAGCTACACATGAACATTGTGTGTGTGTTCACATCACATACATCAGCACGCTTACCTCAGCAGCTTTGTATGGAAGCTTGTTTCCACCACAGGATAAAAAAATTTATAATAAATTTAGCTGCAACGTTTTATCTCACAATTCTGACTTTTTCTTAGTTTATACCTCACAAATCAGTTTTTTCCCCCCTCATTTCTGAGATCTAGAACTCGGAATTGTAAGATATAAACAAAGAATTGCAAGATATAATGCAAGTTTGCAAGATATCAATTGTAATTCTATGGAACAAGTCAGAAAAGTCTGAGAAGAAAATGTAGAATTGTGAGATAAAAACTTGCGATTGTGAGAAAAAAGAGAATTGTAACAAAAAGTAGATTTTATTTTTTTTATTTGATGAAAAAAAAACAGAATTGTGAGATGTAAACTCAGAATTGCAAGTAGTAGCTTCCATAGTTTGAACCTGGAACATTGCTTTGGGCCTGTTTACACCTGGACACTTCATGCGTTTTCTCTGATCGGATGTTAATCTGATTTGTTAAAATGGTTTAATTTACACCTGGCCACATAAATGTGTCTCCACAAAACGGATATAAATCCGATCTTCAATTTCCGAGCTATATGCAAATGTAATGGAGTTCACATCATCACAAGCAATAGGTACGCGCTGGATTTTACTCATCATCAGCTAATTTCAAGATCAAAGACCGCAACAGAAGAGAGCGGCATCAGCACTGGAAAGATTGCTTTCAGTTTCATTTGCTGCAGTTTTGCGCATCGGCTTGCTGTAGACATACTCAGCTACTCATCTGCGACGATGCGTGTTGCATTAGCGCTGTCATATCAGACTATGACATGTCATATAGCCTTTAACACTCTCACACGTTTATTGTTAACTAAAACTAAAATTAAAACTAAAAATAAAACTAAAACATTTTAGCTAGCTGCCAAAGCATCATTTCTCATTGCTTTTAGTTTAAGTACAAAAATAACTATAACTAAAACTGAAATAAAAATTAATAAAAAAAACTATATAGACATATTTATTGAATCTTGTTTCCACCCCAGGATAAATAATAAAAATATTAATAATAAAAGAAAAAGGTAATTGCGACTTTTTATCTCATAATTCTGACTTCTTTTTTTTCATAATCTAATAATAATCGAATAAAAAAGTATTTTTATTTAATAAAAAATAAATTATTAATAAAAAATAAATTATTTAATAAAAAATAAATGATTAATAAAAAATAAATTATTAATAAAATAATAGTATCTCAGTGATACAAAAAATAACCCCGGTGTGCAGACGTTTTAAGTTGAGTCCATTTTTTTTCTTTAATTTGCTGTGTTTTTCTTTTTTCCTTTGGTTTGCTGTGTTTTCCTGTGTTTTTCTGTTTTCCTGTGTTTTTGTCACGAATCCGGTCTATGGACTTCCATTTGTTCACCACCAGAGGTCATTATCCACCACATGGACTCTCACACTACACAGACTGTCACATTCTTTTGCCTAGCTCTCTGGACATTGTTTGCCGATCTCAGACCCATGCTAGCCTTTGGATTACTCTTCGTCTTGCCTCTTTTATTACTGTTTGCTGTGTATCGACCCATGCCTGTTTCATGACCACGCCTTTAAATAAAAGCATGCAGATAGATCCGCACATCTCATGTCTCGTTCGCCCCGTAACAGAATACTCGGCCACACGAGGATCCAGCAGCTTTTCAAACGGACATTGGCGAGGTATGGACACGGCAAGAATATTGTTGGCCCTTAAACAAGACACATGACCGCTGGAGAACTATATTCGAGAGTTTTTAGCCATCGCTCACTATTCAGACTTACCAGACTGTGTTTTGATAGACTTTTTCTGTGATGCATTAATTAACCTCTAAAGTCTAAGCTTAGACACGAGGGTCCGTGTTCATCACTCTGTCAATTTATGGATTATGCTTTGTTGTCTGTTGGCTCTTTATTTACTGTGGGTGTCACGGAGGAGGAACATAACATCAAATTTAGTCATCCACAAGCTCCGGGACATTTAAGTATATTGATCGCTACTCCGGTGATTCAGTCCGCTCCTGAAATGGCGGCCGCACCGGAGCGCATTCGCAAAATGTCGGCTACACCAATGCCCCGTCATGTCACAGCCGCCATTCCTGAGTCACGTCATGTCACAACTGATCTTCCAAAGTCTCGTCACGCCTCAGCTGATCTACCAGAGTCACGTCACATCACAGCTGATCATCCAGAGTCACGTCACGTCTCAGCTGTTCATCCAGAGTCACATCACATCACATCACAGCTGTTCATCCAGAGTCACGTCACGTCTCAGGTGTTCATCCAGTGTCACATCACATCACAGCTGATCATCCAGAGTCATGTCACGTCTCTGCTGTTCATCC